CAGGGCCCCAAATCCCCATTTGAACCCCCCCCCCATACAGACGGTCCCGGGCGCAGAGACCCCCCCAGACACTCGAGAATGTTTCCGGAGAAAACACGGCGCCCGCGACGCTCCAGGTGCTGGCGGGTCCCTTGGGTCACCGCAGGCGGGTGCAGCAGGGCCAGGGTCCCCCCTGCGTCCCCCCCTCACCTCTCCGCAGGGCCAGGGCGGGTCAGTAGGGTCTGTTGGCATCTTTCGGCCGCTTGAGCTGGACTTTTAGCCTCTTCATGCCAATCTGGAAGCCGTTCATGGCCTGGATGGCCGCCTGAGCGCTTGTGGGATTGTCAAAACTGACGAAACCTGGGGGCGAGGGACCAGGTGACAAGAGTTTGTCACTGTAAACATCCCGGGGTGCAGCCTCACTTCAAGCAAGGTGTGGAAATCCCGCGGGATGCTCCTGCGGAAGCTCCAGGTGGAGAGGGGGGTGGCAGGGTAACGGCGCAGGGCACCGGGTGATGGGCTGGTGGCAGCTTTGGGGACACCAAGGGTGGCATTGGTGGGTGCACTGGGGTGAGAAGGTCCCCAGGGACACTAAGGTGATGGGATTTGTGGGGACACTGGGGTGACAGGGTCTACCAAAGTGATGGGGACTGCAGGGACACCGAGGGTCTGCGGGCTCACGGGACACCTGGGTGACAAGGTCTGCAAAGACACCGAGGCAATGGGGCCTCCAGAGACACGGGGTGACAGGGTCTCTGGGGACACCAAGGTGACAGGGTCTGTAGAGACACCAAGGTCTGCAGGTCTGTGGAGATACTAGGGTGACAAGGTCTGGGGACACCAGGGTGAAGGGATTTGTGGGGCCACCAAGGTGACACAGGCTTCAGGAACACTGTGGTGACAGGTCTGGAGGCCAGAGTGTGCTGGTGGCAGTGGTGGCACTCGGCTGCGTAAGCAGAGCAGACGTGGCAGTGGCACGCGGTGACCAGCCCTCCCTGGGGCAGGTGGGCTGAGGACATGGGGCGTAAGAGGGGACAGCGGCAGGGGTGTGTCCTTCTGTCCCAGCACAGTGTGGGACAAAAAACTGCCCTTTGGCCCCGGGATGGACAGCCACCTTGTGGCTTTGGTCACCCATCAGTGCCACCTGAGCTGGATGTCAGGGAGAGATGGATCCCTGAGCTGGGAACACTGGGGAGAGAACCCCTGATTTGGGGACACTGGGGAGAGAAAGACCCCTGAGTTGGGGACGCTGGGGAGAGGTGGACCCCTAAACTGGGGACACTGGGGAGAGACGGACCCCGGAACTGGGGACACTGGGGAGAGACGGACCCCAAGCTGGGACATCAGGGAGAGACAGACCCCCGAGTTGGGGATGTGGGGGAGAGACAGACCCCCAAGCTGGGGACATTGGGGAGACCCAGACAGACCCCCCAGCTGGGGACACAGGGGAGAGCTGGAACCCCAAGTTGGGGATTGGGAGTTTGTCCTCCAAGCTCAGGATGTTGGGGAAAGCCAGACCCCCGAGCTGGGGACATTGGAAAGAGCTGGACCCCCGAGCTGGGGACATCGGGGACAGCAGCACCCAGGGACTTACCAAAGCATTTACTCTGGTTGGTGGCCCGGTCCACGAACACTTTGGCAGAGATGACATTGCCAAAAGGCAAAAACATCTGCGTGAGCTCCGCGTCCCCGAACTCCTGGGGCAGGTGATAAATAAACAGGTTACAGCCTTCGGGACCTGGGTGACACACAAAGGACAGCCGCACGTCAGCCACGAGCCGGGCGTCACCGCGGGTGGGGTTCGAGGAGCCACCAGCCCCACAGCAGGGTGTCCCCGTCCCCCAACCCCTCACCTTCTCGCTGCTGCTGCGGGATGATGGGCGCTTGCTGGGGAAAGGCTTGGCTGATGGGCGCGTAGGCGGTGGGGTACGCTGCTGGAAGAGAGAAACGCCCAGCTGAGACCCCAGCACCCGCCGAGCCGGGCGTCACCGCGGGTGGGGTTCGAGGAGCCACCAGCCCCACAGCAGGGTGTCCCCGTCCCCCAACCCCTCACCTTCTCGCTGCTGCTGCGGGATGATGGGCGCTTGCTGGGGAAAGGCTTGGCTGATGGGCGCGTAGGCGGTGGGGTACGCTGCTGGAAGAGAGAAACGCCCAGCTGAGACCCCAGCACCCGCCATGGGGCTGGGGACAGGGGTGTCCCCTGCTGACACCTTCCATGGAGGTGCCTCTCCTGCCCCGGGGCTGCTGGCTCTGCCCTCCCCACCCTGGCTGGTCCCAGGAAGGGACGGTGGTGGCAGCGGTAATATAGTTTCAAAGCTGAGGAAAGGCTTTTGGTTGAAAAAAAACAAAAATTGAGAGTCCAAAACTTGATTTTCTGTTGAAAATCTGAAAATCGAGGTCAGCGCTCCTAATTAAACAACTGCTGGGCTCGCCGTACGTCCACTCCTTTCTCTCTGCGTCCCATCTCCCCAGCCCTGGGATGAGGCGACGCAACGAATTTCTGAGGATTTTGGATCTCTTGGTGCCTCCGCGGCCATCTCCACCCGTGGGCTGGCATGTGGGCAGGATCCAGCACAGAGCCAGCTCTCTGCCACCACCCAAACCCTGTCCCCTCCCCTGGGTACTGCCGCCCCCATGGAGTTATCCCAGCCCCGGGGGCGTTAAAATTCACTTTCCTCCATCCAAAATTTGCACGGAGCACCATGCCGGGTGTGATTTGTGTCACTGGGGACAAGGGGACGGCGCCAGGATGCAGAACCCCACACTCACTGCATTAATCCATGCCCCCAGAAAAAAAACCCCAAATGTGGTGTCCCCCAAAAAATAAGGATGAGGAGTAAAGAGAGGAGAGAGGGGAAGAAGCGCAAAGGAAAAGTTAGAGACCTGCATAGTGCTGCATGCCTGCGTAGGCTTGCTGGAGGGGATCTGCCACCGTGGGGCTTTGAGCTGGGAAGAGAAAAAAAAAAAAAAAAAAAAGAAGAAGGAAGAGAGAAT